CCGGCTAAATCAATCATACACGCCTCAACTTACCTTTAGTAACGCGAACTTTGGACCGGTGAAGCGACTGACTCGCCATTTTCCGGCCCAACATTATGTATAAAAAAATATTAGCTGGATCGGCTGTCTTGATCGTAATAATTAAATTAATTTTTCAAAAAATAAATATAAGATCATTTTACTGAATTTTTAAGTTATATGAAATAATAATTATCGTGTCTAGTATTGTTTTAATTCGTATTTATCATAATAACTTATGGGCTTCGCATCAGTATTAAAGGTGACCTTGTTTGGTTGAAGCCAAACAATATGTTTATTGAGAAGATATTCTTCAGAGCAATTATACGGACTGCATAGCGTTGGGTTATAGGAAATCAATGAAATGAAGATAAAAACCGAACATAGGATGTACCGCATCTTTTTAGAATTATAACTTTAGTTGAAAAAACAAGAAACAATGGAAATGACCTTTTATATGGATTTCAATTATCACGCTTTACTTAAATACATGAATTCCGAAATATTAACGAGCTATCATAAAATGATAGAGATTGTTATCAATTACTTTCCTCAGTGTTCTTACCGTAATTATACAGCACCGTAGCAGGAGAAATTTCTGAATTATGGATTTTATTGGGGAAACATATTTCTGCGACCGAAAATAGCAACTTTGCCGTAGCATACATTGATGCTTTTATAGAATTACATCAGAAAGGTTATAGAATAGTTAAATATGGTGATTGTTATTGCCACATTAACAATATTTTAACAATTAAAACTTCATTATAAGTTCATAATATGCGCGATATAAATGTAAATTGGCAGATAAATCATATTTAGATGAGTATATATGTCTAATTTTCCAATTAATTACAGTATTATGCATATAGGCGCGTGTGACACGATTAACGCGTTTTTGATCCTCGTTAAGGTGTACTGTATATGATGTAAGGACCGGAAATATAAGAATTCCGCTTTTTCACATGACATAAGCGATCATATATTTGTCACTTGATGATATGATTATCCAGCATATTGGGAGCTTATATGGCATACGTAGTATGCTTTTTGGATACATAACAGGCATATTCACTTCGATGTGTGTAGTGTTCCGAATGAGTCGGGTCAACCCGAAACTCAACTCAATCTTAACCCGAAATTTACATTTCGGGTCGGATCAGTTGCTTACGTAATAATTTCGGGTTGGGTTTGAGTCGGATCGGGTCAAAATCTTGACTCATTTGACCCGTTTAATATTTTCAGTCTGAGTTTAAAAAATAAAAAACATTTGATCAATTTTGATTTTTAATAATTTTATTTAACGATTCTTATGGCTTTATTAAAAATAATTTTTATTATGAAAAAAAAAAGCAAAAATTTTTAAAATTATTTATTTTTACTTTGCTTACTTCTGTGTGCTGACCTACTGGTGATTTTTAGATTTATGCAATAATGAAGTTTTCAAGGCCGATAGCCGTTAAACTCGAAGCTAAACTTTATAATTAATATGTACAAAATTTCATAATATATTGAATAAATAAAGAGCAAAATTTAAATTTAAAATCGTACAAATATTTTAATTCTAGACAGTTAACCATTATTCCCGATTTTTTAAACACAATGATATAACAAAGACCTAATGAGACCTAATGCCAATATAAATGAACGAATTTGTATGCTAAACCCTTACGAATCAGCGGGCAACGTAAAAGAACTTGATAAGTTTAATAGCATGTTTGACATTACGCTCTACTTGAATAAATTGTTGCGAGGCAAATAATAATTTACGGAGAATCAAATAATCCAACTCCTTCAATCGTATTTTTACCATTATCTGAATATACCGCTCTTCGTCCTTCTGTTTAAGCACACCATAATCCCAAACAAATCAAAAATTTGATCGGGTGGTCTTACTTCATATACAAGGTTACTTTGCTCTTCAAATTTTTAGCTTCTAGATCGATCACACTAACACTTCTCATTCGCAAATGGTAAGGATTGCATGCGGCAAATATTCAAATATTATGGTTAATCGATTTCTCATGATATATTCGACGAATTATTAGATCCACTAGGAGGTCAATGTTATTACATATGTTTCTTTTGTTAAAGAATATTCAGGTTTCTCCTTCCTAGCATTTTGCTGAACTTCAATTATGAATTGCGAAATGGCATTCCTTGATACCCATATGAAAATTGAGGGAAAAAAACTGAACATCTACCACACGGGCTAGAAATCCGATCCGATTCGTCAAAATCAGAATTGAGTTAATAATGTTTTCTTAAACAAACAGTAACAGTAATACATAATTATCATTACCTTTCTTTATCCGTCCTCCCAAAATAACAGATATATTTGCCTGCACTTTCAGCAAAATCAATACCATACTCAACATTTTAGAAATCTTATGAGATCTATTTAGCAGCTTGCACTTTTTGTTGGACATAAAATTCTCACTTTGTATAAGCATTAATGATTCGGGATCAATTGCAACTTTAGGTACTGCCGTTACTGCTGGAGGCGAAATAGTCTTGACAGAATCAGAAATTAGACCATATGCTGGCACAAGTTTATCATCTATTTCCATTGCATCGGCATTCTCACCACGATGAATTCTTCTTATCCTTGCTCACAAATTCCACGTTCAATATTTGTTTCTTAGTGTTGCATGTTCCAGCTTTAGCAAGTTTTGTACACCGTCTCTGTTTCTTGTCAATATATCGACCAGATTGAATCTGCCATAATCAAAAGATTCCTTAATTCATTTTTGAGTCATGAGTATTTCTGACTGATTCAAGTATTTGCATGGTATTCATCGTCTTTTCTTGTGCGGTGCTGGATCTGAATAGTTATTTGATATTAGACTTGATATCATGCAGAGATATTTTTGTAAAGCCTATATACCAATGACCTTCGATTTAGTAGTATCTGGACCAATAGCAGTTCGAAACCTTCAGTTCTTCATCTGAATAAACTCTATATTTATCATCCTCAACTTTAGCAATGCCTAATACACCTGTTATCAATGCTTCCAACCACCTTCATCATTATCTTCCTTCTCGAACTCAAACTTCGTATTTTACCAAATTATCATCAATTTTGCCTAAGTTCACCGTCATTCGTGGCATCCCCAGAATGATAATTCATTGTTTTTTTTCTCAAATTTAAAGTTTGTTTGGTGCAATGGTACCAATAACCATTTCAATATCTCTTTTCTTGTCAAAATCTTTGAGTGAATGATTTTTAAAAATTTTTTAAAATGTTGCCTGCAGTACTTCAAATTGTATCTTGAGCTTGATCACGAGGTTTTGATGAACGAATGCTAAGGTCAATTCGTATGTCTCTCAAGTCTCTTTTGTCCGTGATCCGTAATATAACCCATAAAAATATTCAATAGCCGCCAATATATTAGAATATCCATTGACTTTTTTAATTCACTAGAGAACAACTTTATTTAATAAAAAAATCAAGAGAAAAAGACTCAAAAGAAAAAAAAGAGTAATATAAGACGAACCTTTGCTCTTTTTCTGCTTCTGTCGCCTCCTGTGCTTTTTTTCCTTTTTTTTGGAAATATTTTATGGTATCCATTTATACTCTAGTATCGGAATATTTCGGGTTGATTTTCCCATAACGATTCTGGCTCACCAGAAGGATCAATCTCAATGCAGTAATTCTTATCGATTTGCTTGTAAGATTAAAGTTAGCGTGTATGAATTAGTACCAATACGTAAAATGAGAAAGACCATTGTATTCTTACAATTATAAAATATATTTCAAACCATAAATAATAAACTCATTGCATGCTTGATTATTCAATATACTTTTAATTGCGTTAATGTGACTAATAGAAAAATTGAAACTAGTAATTTCGAACAAAAAAATAAATATTTTTTAAAAAAATTGGTTGAGAGAAAGTTGACAAGTATTTAAAACCAGTCAGATCTAAAAATGTTTCAAAAGCTAGAGCTTAATCACCATAAGAATTACTTATAAAATAAAGATGTTTAATCACTAACAAAAAAATTATCCATGTGATAAAAATACTTCTAATAACCAATCAAATTTCATAACATATAACCCGAATCTGACTGGCATACATGTCACCAGCGCAGTATATAGTATTCTCGTATTCCCCTTTTATGAAAATTAAAAAAGTTTAAAAATTCTTTTATGCAAAAAGCAAATTATGACTTGTGTATAAAACTTGTATTTATTCGGTAAAAAAAATACTCCAAAATATAAATATTTTAAAATACATAAAGAGGGAGATAATTAAAAATCGAGTTAGTAGAAGCGGAGAAAGCATCACTTACTGTATATTAAAAAGAGCAAGAAAGCTTTAGTATTCGTCCTGCTTACTAAATAAAGACACATATGATAATTTCGTGTAAATAAAAAGCTTACATTGGTGGACTTTGATTATTAATTACTAGTATTGCTGGTATCTCTGGTATCGCTAGTATTGCTGGTGTCGCTACTGTTGAGAATCTCCAATAGTAACTCCATTCCTTGATTTGTAGATTCATACGCGTCAATGAGAGCATAGGTTGTTTCTTCAGAATAACCGTCAGAAATGTCGGTATTCGCCGCAGCGTGCGTTGAAGTTATAGTTTCAGCAGACTTTTTTTTGATTTTTTTAATTTTTTGTGATAACGAAAGATACTCCTGTATCAGCTATTTTTATAGCATCCAAAGATTTTAAGAACATACAGTACATTATATCATCAGTTGAGATGAAATGTGCTAACTTTGCATCCTTTATCCATATCTATTCCAGAAAATGGTAGCAAACAATAAGGAACAATTAAATTTGACCTCCTATTATTTTTCTAATAAATTATATCATATCTCATCCCAAATTTGAATACAAAGAACACAAAGAAAAACTGATTGTCATAAATGTTTACGCAATTACGCCTCTGCTATACTTTATCAGAAACTCGATTTTTCTTACGGATACAGTAAACAGCATTATGTAAAATTACGAACACATGAATAGCTTTGCTATTACGCATATAACATAAAATACCCACATGTAGGTTAAAAGCATTAAAGCACTTTATTTCTTTATTATATTTTGTAAATACATTAGGTTTTAGAAAATTAAAGAGATACAGTGTTGGAATTTAATGAAGATTATCTCGAATGAAATTATAAATAGGATGATAGCAGTTCTTCGGCTGTCTGCACGCACAATGACGCTATTATTTAATTCTCTCAAATGAAGTTATGAATCAGGAATCATTTGGTTGATATACGCAATGACGCTATTATGTATTTCTCCCAAATGAAATTATAAATCGAGAATTATTTAATTTACTATTATGGTGTTAATAATCATCTGAATAACACATATATTGATTTTATTGCATTTTCAAACGCCTATATTTTAAAATAAACAAAACATTCTTGGCTAAGAAAAAATCAAACAAATAAAAGATATTGATGTAGATTGCGGTTCCATCTCTACTCCGTAATGTAAACTACATTAAGTTTACTACTTAACCATAAACCAATATCATCTAAAGTATTAATGTACCCATCCTTCTTGATATTTCTTTCATAAAACCCTTGAACCGTAACTTTCTTAATATTCCCACCTAATCCACCGTTGTCGTCACCGGCGAGTCTTTCGCTAAATCAACTTACTCTTCGCGTGACAATAATATTGTCGTGGGCTCTCCGGCAAGCCCACCCTCCTGGTCGTCGCTTCGTTTCACAATAAGGTAAGTTTCTAACTCTTGAGGCGTGTTTCCGATTTGGTCGTTCTCTCACTTTAACTTCTCTACCGACTAGCCTAGAACCCTTCCAATGCCAATTCCCTTAGGCAATCCTCGGTTCTCCCTTGTAGTCGCGTAGCCCAAGTTACAAGTCTACTTTGGCACACTAAACACAAGGTAAGAGTTTATCCGTTAAACGTTACTTTATTGTTTATTACTTAATGTGCTACTGACTCCCAACTAAACTCTCTTCTCTCCAAAAATCGTCTACATGCTACTGAATGGCGCATGTATTTATACATGCGCCTATTGTTTACATGTTTACATATGATCATTATTCTACGCTATTCTAGAAATTCCCACCTTTAAATTCTCCCACACCAGTTTCCCACCGTTCCCTCACAACAACACTAATTACGTGACGCGGCGGCGTGTCACGTTACTGCGCATACATTTTTACCCACGACAATATGAACGCTTGGATTTCGGCACTAAATAAAGGTAAGGCTTTAACTCTGAGGCGGTTACAATTTGACCGACTTTTCACACCTTTCAATCTCTTCTTGACCTTCCCTCTAGGAGCGTCTCAAGATTACAAGTGGTGCAAAAGGTAACGTCGTATCTCTCCTTTAAAGTCGTTTACTGTAGTGACAATACTCTTGGTTTATGCTTTATGAGATGTACGTGTTATTGTGCGAAATTTACAGTATTTAATAAAGTAAGAAAGAGCGAAAGCGCGTTTCAAAACTCTAAATTGGCTATAATTGACTATCACGAACTAACTCCCCAAACTATGAATAACTATCCTATTTATATGCCGTCCCCTCATTTACACTATTACAGTATATCATTCTACCATCCTTACCACTATTGTTATGCGACGCGCTTTAATGTCGCTTCCCATTCCTATTGCTTCCACAATACCATGAATACCCTTCAAAATCTAAATGAAATATACTTGGGAACATATGCAAATATTTTTAATACTTTTATTTAAGTGAATTGAAGTGTGATATTTTAAGATGAGTTAATTTCGAGCTATGTATTTATTTTCACCCTCTATGTATTATTTTCATAAATTTTTTCAATTGTAAATAGTCTTCTGCTACTTCTCCCTTCTCCTCGGCTTTACGTATTTCCATAGTGTAGGATCACCACATCTACCACAATAGGCAAACAAATAGATCGGGATAGAGTGAGTTAAACAAATATATAATCCGTTCTGATAGTTCTGGTATAATAAAAATCATTGAATGCATCATAAATATTCAGTATTATACTCTTCCTTCCAAAAAAATCTCCGAGCACGGGAAAAATAATAGAGGTACCGGTTAGCATAATTACTGCATTTTCTTTTTCGGTACAGACCTGCTTGTGTGATTTATTTTGTCGCACAATATAGCTCAGCAAATTCCTCCGAACTGATCTTCTAGCTCTCGTGCTAATTTATCCAACGTTGATTTAAGATCAATAGTATAGAATATTGTCAAAATTCAAGCGCAACCCCTGCTAAAAAAACTTTAAATATTTTATCACATATTTTATAATATTATTTTGGCTTTCCATATTGTGAAATTGCCATTAAATCTCATACTTTTCTATATATGAGCACCCGATTCCAGATACTTAATTCGGGGTAATTGAACACGCCTACAAATCTATCCTGCCTTATATTCTTGACAGGAATACAGCCTGTTACCCTATTATATGCGTGTTCATATTTGACCAGATTGCATAATGATAAATACTGCGTGAGGTTAGTAAAGTAGTAAACCTACCTTTGTCTCGCACCAATTATTCTAGATTTTCTAGTTAATTTATCCGATTCACTTATATTTCACTTTTACAATCTTTACACGACTTGATTGTGCTTCCCTTTTTTTTTGAACGATTGTCTTTTTTTATATACGGTACAGTGGTGATCATATTTTTTTGGACAAATTTAAATTTAATATATTTGATAATCAATGATCCAAAAAATCAAAATTATTTTTTTATTTAAAATAAAATAGTAAGAGATTTTATTATATAGTATTAGTAATCAATTCTATCTCCCTTTTCTTAATAATTTCCTCACATCGTAATTTCATTGACTCTACTAAATTCTTTATAACTTTTTTAGGTATTTTTTGTTACTCTTCCTCTATATATGTTGTTAATTCATCTAAATTTTGCGAATTTCTTTTCTCCACATTTCTTTTAACTAGCCTTCATAGGTTCTTGATTGATTTAAGATTGAGATTATTGTGCATCCAGTCCATTACAATAGGTACATTTTCTTTGAAAAACCCTTTTGCTTTGCAGTTTGTGTGCTTAGAATCATTGTTCTGCTGAAGCCACCAATCGTTTTTCATCATCTTCTTGATCTCAGGAAGTTGTTTTCTTATGATAGTTACGAAGAATTCAGCATCCATCATGCCACTAAAGCAACAGAGGCTCATTTTTCATCTAATCAAAAATTTTCCCCAGCAATAAATTTTTTGCCTATTTTTTAGAGATACTCTGCATTGATCTGTGGCCTTTATACCACCATGTGATCATATTTTAGAATGTTGAAATATGTTTTATCTGAGAATAAAGTTTAGAACCAATTATTATGACAGTGTTTTTTGCTTATTTGACCCTGTTCTTTTTTTGCTTTGATATTAGCATAGGTATCACAAGTGAAAAGAAATTTTTATAATCAAAATTAATAAGGTGCCTTCAAATTGTATGTTTTGTGAACATGATTTTCAGCAAGTCTGTCACTTCTCAGGACCAGCACTCGCGTAACGTTCAGGTAAGTAGGTTTCTTTATTCAAGGCATGTGATTTGACTTGGCCGGGTTTTCTATTAACTATTGTTCCTCTTGTTCCTCACCCTTGTGCTTTTACTGATAATCTTTGCCACCATTCCTTTGTGGCCCTTTGAATTATCCTCTTTCCAAGCTAGCAGTACTAAACAAGGTAAGTTTATTTATTAGAAATTCCCTTCTTTGACATCATCGATCACACTACTAATTTAGCAATTTTTAATTAGTTGTCTTACTATGGAGCGCGATACTTTTGGGTGTTCAGTTTTTCTTGCTTTATTTTCAATTCATTTCTTTTTTTTACATGAGTACATTGTTCTTTTATAGCCTAATGCTATGCTAGGATAGATTATCACTGATTTCATGAATTTAAACTTTTAAGCTTACTAATAGACTATTGTATAAACTACTTCATAGCATTTCTGAGTTTTAGACATGCAATGTGTGAATCACATTACACATCTATCCCTCATTATACTTTTTCCATTCACAGTCTGGAGATTATGACACCCTGTTCTGATAATTTGCAAACTATATGAATCATAGAAGCTGTTGAATTTCAGTAAAGATACTGACCTGTAACCTTCAAAATATTGCTATTGATTATTTTTGATCATCCTGCATCTAGTTTCTGTTTCAAATTATCTACCTTCACTAACTTTTGAATTTGAAATATATAGTAGAGTGACTAATGCTAGTTTATTATTAAATTTTTAATGCACATTGTATGCTGTTGTTCCATAAGTATAAAATTATCTTCTGTTGTTTTTTCTTTGTTGATTGTTGCATTCTAAGGATCATTACTCTTTATATACTCTATATAGGTAATAATAAAGTGTGACTTACTTTCTTTGTGATACATAAAGTTTGTTTATAATCCTTTATACAATTGTGGCTTTGTTATTACATGTGATCAAAGTCTTATACAATGTGTTCAAAAAAATATAATCACTATTGTATATCTGTACAATTATTATATTCTTCAGAATATTTAAATAATTTATAGAATTTCATAATATTCTATAGATAGTATATTTTGTAAACAATTCTTTTAAAATTTGATATATTTTAGTTGTATCACATTTTAATACCATAATAAATTCTTTGAACATTTTAACAAGATATACTTTTCTTTTTCTAAATATACTGTATATTGTTATAGAAAAAAAGTAATGAATAGATTATATGAAATTATAAGAATTATTATTAATATAAGTATATTAAACATAATATAAAATAAAAAGTATAATAAACA